TCCACTGTATATTTTTCTGTACAATCTGAAAAGAGTCCTGCCTTATGTTTAAGGTAGCTTAACATCAGCACAAGCACAATTTCATCTGCACTTTTTGGCGATGCACAAACGATGTGTGTTGTTCAGGAGGCAGGACTGAGGGAGGGAGACTACATTGTGGCAGTGGATGGACACGACTGTAAATGGGGCAAACATGGTGAAGTGGTGCACCTGCTGAAGAGCTGCAGTGACAGACTGAAGCTCAGTGTGGTCACTTTACACTCACATGATACACAAGTAAGTGTGAGCTTGTGCAGGGTCCGAAATTAGCATCTGCCAGGCACCAAATGCAGGTAGGATTTATCATTTGGCAAGTAAATCTCAGAAGACTACCTGCCACACTGGTGGGTGAATGTTTGTAGACAAATGGTAATGTAATAAAAGAGTATCATGAATCTCCACTGTGGGTGCCCTGCTTTTGTTTGTGTCAGAGTTTGAGACACACACACACACACCCATATTCTGTGAACACCAGCTCCTATTCTGCTTCTGGCTTTCTGAGCCAAGCATAAAAATACACTTCATCACAGTTAAGATGTGTTTTAAAAGAATAGAGCACTAGTTACAGGCGTGTCTCAGACACAGGGCTGAAACACTTTTGGTGTAGACACGGTGTGACTTGGACTTACTGTCAGTGTTCGCAACTGGACTTATGTAAATTCCAGTATCATTAGTTTCACCTTTTCTCATCACAGTTAAGATGTGTTTTAAAAGAATAGAGCACAGACTTACTGTCCAAGTCTGTCTAACCAATCATTTGACCATAACCATTAAGAAGCAGCAGGTCCCCACAGAACATGTGCCACTTTGAAACAGACAAGAGACCATACTTAAACATTTGGCCGGTGGATTTTTTTCCCCATCCACCAGCCACCTCATCTGGTGAGTCAGAAAGTTAATTTCGGACCCTGAGTTTGTGTTGTAATGTGTGTGTGCTCACCTGTGTAGTGACTGGGGCATTTCCTGTGTGTGTCAGGAGGCAGAGAGGAGAGCGATCATGGTGTCACACAGCAGCAATAAGGAAAATACTCAGCTGCGTCTGCCAGCTGGGGCCAAAAAAAAACTGAACTGGAACAGGAAGAAGAAGAGGGAAGGCAGCGGGGTCACTAAGAGACTAGGAAGCACCTTCAGTCTGTTATTTGGAAGCATCCACGACACTGAGGCCATGTACTGAGACATGACAGTGGAGGAAGCACTCAGGGAGTCACAGCAGCAGAGCACATGGTGCCATTAGGATTGCGGACTGACTGGCCAAGAAGCACAGCCTCCTGTGTTGGCGCAGGGAGAGCACAGGGCAACTGAAGTTAAGTTAAAGTGGTGAACCTGACTGCTGTTTTGCTGCAGCACACTTCAGTGTTTCTGGCAATGTTGTTGGCCAACAAACGTGTGGAAGTGCACAAAGCAGCTAGAATATATTGTAAACAAGCGTTTGGCTACTTTGAGTGAAGAGGGAGGAAGTTACAGCTGCTGCCACAGCATGTCAAAAATTAAACTGTTCCTCGGGAGGATAAACTGCAGTGCACTGTCTTGGATTCTAAAGTCATGTTGAGACAGAATGAGAAGACAATTTTATATTCAGCTCATTTGCACAGAAAATGCAATGCAAGTATACTATTGGGTAAAAATGAGAGAATTGAAACTTTTCAACTACAAGAAGCTTGAACCTTAAATTAGTCCCCACCAACAAGTTAAACTGCATTTAGCAAAGTGGATCTGAGAAGTACTACAAGATGGTACTACAACAAGCAGCCTCTACACTTCTTAAATGTACAGCAGCGTTTGAGGCCACTATGGACAACGCATCAGCAGAATCCTGGCTACTTGTGAATGTTTGAATGCTTCTTACATTGAGTGGCACTTGTGGACACCGAGCCTGGGTTGCTGAAGCAAATACGTGAAGGGATGTTCTTGGTTTCCCTGGATGGAGACGAGAGCCCACAAAGCCACTATGACAGTGTTCTGATGGCGTCTCAAAGACGACCTCCTCGTCCTTCTGGCACTGAAACAAATCAACAGTGTCCAGTCCATAAGTAAAAACAAATCTCCAAATGTTCAGAAGTTTTGTACAAAATGTCTGTGACAGTGTAAGTTAAAGAGTTTAACCTACTCTGGCATCCTGGCACTTGTATAACAGTGCTGAATGCATACATCCTCCAGGGTGGCATCCTTTTGCACTGTGGAATCAGGTGTGCAGCTTTCAGAGCTGTGCTTCTTCAGACTTATGAGTCACTGCTGCTGACTGAATATCACAGGACACTGGGTACATCCTATGTCTCTTAATTGCATCCACGTTTCTCTCAATTGCATCTTAATCCCGCCCACATAAGATGCAAGGAGAGAGGAATTGAGGAAACACGTTTAAAGACACGAGACACCCTTCCTTCACTGGAAGCATCAAACCTCAACTCAAGTCTGATAAAAGGGCGTCAGTCCAGAAAGGACTCGAGCAAAGGATGCTCTCATGTGTCCTCACTTATAGCTCCTCCAGCCGCAGCCTCAATCCTGAGAGCAGGAATAACAGCTGCGGGACTTCCAGGTTGAGCAAGGAGCAAACATAAAAGACTGAGGATGTACCTTGTGTACAATTTAAAGATGTTAGACTTTAACAACTCCTCAGGGGAAGGTTCAAGAAAACAGTGCAGCAGACAAAAATGTGCATTGCCAATAACAGGTGAGATCTGGGACAGCTACCCCACACCCTGAAAATGTGTAATATCACTAAAGCAAAGACAGCATAAACTTACATGACCAGTCACCAGAGACGATGCTTGCACAAAACAAAAAATACCTGCACCACAAGATTCTTCCCAGTGTTTGACTAGGACAATGACTCCAAGGCCTTTTCAAGCAGAGAAGATGGAAAAACCGGCAGAATGTTATTTTGTATAAATCAGCATGAAATCAATTCAGTAAAGATGATTTATTAACGGTTATGCGTTTTTGGGGTCCAGTCTGATAGAGAGTAAGCCACAGTGTTATTTATTAAATAATGGACTGATGTTTACCACATACTTTGCTTGATGAATGAAAAGATGTGTAGTAGATTATCAAGTCCCAGACAGAGTTCATGGGTTCATGAGAAGCTACTCATGCTCCTGTAAAAGTTCTTTGACTTAAATCACAGCTGCAGACTTTATACACAGTATGAAGAACAGGTATATCCCAAATGGAAAGTGTTAAGCTAAGATGCACATCTCTGCGTATTTAAAAGAAGAAATACAGTCCCTGGGAATCAGCCAGCTGGCGGTTTGACGGAGACTTCAGTCCATCTCCAGGCTCTATGACCCTCCAGGAGGCACTGCCGGCCCCAAGCCGCTCTGTTCCAGCTCTGCTATCACTGACATGTGTTTGAAGTCTGCTGGGTGGTGGTTAAACATCTCCACCAGGCGGTACGTCTCCTGCCTCTGTGTGCTGTAAAACAGCTGCACCTGATTGGCCAAGCACTGCGCCTGGTGGACAGTCTGGGAAAGAAGAAGGGCAGAAAGTTAAATACACAAACATTATCATCAGCCTTCACCAAGTCTTCTATGAGATGACAGAACCTGGACCATGTGTGGACTGAATTATGTGAGCCCTTTTGTGTAAACTAGAGTTACTGCCTCGCGGCTGGATGCTTCCACCAGCCAGTCAGGTTGCAGCTTACGTGCATGACTGTCCAGACTCATATGCAGTAAATACTTTTAAGGAATGTGTGAGTGTTGAAGAAATGTCCTCAAGATGTTCCTGAGATATTGTATTCATGAGAATGGGCCAGACAGAGAACCCGAAAACATAACACCACCGGCCACACCTGTCATCAGCACAGAGAAATAATAATAAAACAGAGCACTCAAAAAACCCAGTATGGTCCGTTAATCCAGGTGCAGCCTGGTGAGGCCAGGCTGGTAAAGGACTTACTATAAACTTGGGGTCCATCTCAGCTGTCATGAGGACCACGCCCTTCTCCTCCTTCAGGTCTGGGTAGTGGTAGAGGATCAGCTGACTGGGAGCGTTCTCACCCAGCATCTGGAAACAAAGAGGGACAGAGAAGACCTCCGTTAACTCATCACCTCAAAGCCTGTTCAAAATAATCATTACATCATTTATATTATGCTGATTTAAGGATCACAGCTCTGTTAATACATTTAGCCTTCATATTCATGTTCTCTGAATATCATTTGCATGTATATTTATAATAGACCACACACCATATTTATTTTTATTTTTTTTCCAAAGCTTTGTGTAGTTTCCAAACTCATTTAACACCGAAAACTGGTCCATTAACTTTTAGATCATACAGTGGGTACGGAAAGTATTCAGACCCCCTTCAGTTTTTCACTCTTTGTTATATTGCAGCCATATGCTAAAATCATTTAAGTTCATTTTTTTTCCTCATTAATGTACACACAGCACCCCATATTGACAGAAAAACACAGAATGTTTGACATTTTTGCAGATTTATTAAAAAAGAAAAACTGAAAATGTGTTAGTCTACTGCAACATTATTTTATAGGCATTAAAAAACATAAGACACTTAATTTAAAACATAACTGAGCTCTATGACCTTTTTTTTTTAAACCTGGGAATGTCAGAAAAGACTAAGAGACCAGAAAGGATGTTGCTGTCCCGCCCCACATTGCACTGCAGTTATGTTTGTTTCTTAATATGACAGAAAACCTTTAAATTTGTGTTTCATTTAAAGAACGTTATGCAGATTCAAATTCTAGAACAGAGGGTGAAACATCTTTTGCTGTATTTGTGAACTTGTTTCACATCATTGTTGCTCAGTGCAAATATTAAACAGTCCACATAGTACAAACTTCAGAGCTGAAGTTAGTCAACTGGTCGATGGTTTGAATCTCCAGCAGCATGTGAGGTGGTTTACCTGGACATTGATGAGGGAGGTGAAGTGGAGCTCGTGTCCCGACCACTGACCCACGAAGAACTCGTAACCCTCCTTCTGAGGCAGAGCATACAGGAACTGAGGCACAAGAGGAACGAGTTAGAACAGTCGAGGAGAAAAGGTGTGATGCACATTCTGGCTGGTTGGAAGCAGGAGAACAAAACATCAAGTTAGCAGATTATAGCTATGTTGCAACTGTTTAGGCAGATTTGATAAATTTTAATAGATGTCATGTGTTCTCACAAAATAACCACTGACTTTGGTTGTGACAGCAAACCAATATTTCTAGCGCAGCTCTTTGTCAACATGTTGCTGTGTGAGCAGCAGTGATCTCACCATGGGACACGACCCTGACCTGCTGATCATCACCTCGTAGATCTGTGTCTGGGATAAAGGAAAGCATTAGACCTTCGCTAGATGTCAGCCGGTGTGAACATTTCCTTGTTGGATTGATACAAATGTCTGTCTGTGCTTTATTTACACTATGATACAGAACTATGGGTCTATTACATGAAGTACACAGTATCAGAAAAACAAGCAGTAACTTCTTGTGCTCATCCAAATACACAGCAGTGACAGGATGAAATTTGTAAAGTGGAATGATATGAAAAATGTAGAGGTAGTGGTTGTTATTAACCCTGAATAAATCCAGAGAAAAATGTTGCTTTACACACCACTGGCAGTTTTAAGCAAAAATGTAAAGTGATTTATACATGGCTGAAAGATGTGTCTGTAAGATGTGGTTCCACAGTGAAACAAGTCACTTGTAATTTCCACCAAATCTCACTGAAACAACTATGCAAAAAATAACCTCTATCTGGCTGTGCGGGTCACAAAGATGAAATGCAATAAGCAGTCAAAACCTTAATTTTGTTCATTCAAGCCACACATGAAACTCATTTAAAGGACAAAAGTGACAAAGGTAAACAGGGAATGCTGGGAGACTGCTGTATCAGCATGTTGTCAGTGCAAAACTCACAGGGATGACAGCGCTGATCGTGTCCTTAGTCGAGTAATATTTCATCCAAAGCTGAGGAAAGAACGCACAAGGTCAGAGCAAACAGTGTGAGCCGCCACAGGGAATGATGCGACTACATGTGGATAGAGAAGAGTAAGGCCACAGTGCATTGACAAATAGAATAAGTGAGGCAGACCCCGCCACCCAAACACTCACCTCTGCAATCTCCTCCCCCGTCTTGTCCTGGATCATCGCCAGGTTGAGGATGGAGTCCAGTGTCTGATGAACACATCACATGGTCTGTTACCATTGCACACTTCTTCATCATCATCAGCTTTTGTTTTGCGAGGGTGTGTGTGATTTGCAGCCAAAATTTGGGTCAAACATGCATAAACACAGACGTCTTTTCACACAACAGAATGCAAGAACAAAAAGCTACAACAACTCTGATTTCATTTGACATGTTCACATTGTAAATGCTCCTAGAAACTGTGAAAGCACATTTTTTTTGCTTCAAGTATCTTCAAACACAGCAGCCAGAACTCCACAGAACAAGATGACAGAAATGCAAAAAGCTGAGACCTGCACAAAAACAATTCACTGATTTGTCAGTCAAATTTATCTCTGTCAATTCTGAGACTGTACTAATTGTTTGAGTAAAAATGCCAAAGTTAACTGGTTTCAACTTTTCAAACATGAAACATTGGTGCTTCTCTCCGCTTCATGTCAGTGTTGGTGAAATATCTTTGGGTTTCTGACCTTTAGTGTGGAACAATTAGCAATTTTAGGACATTGATATAATGGGTTGTGTCAAAAGACTTTTGTGATTATTTAATGTGTATCTGATAAAAATCAATAAAAACACCATTCAAAGCAGAAGAAGGAATTTAAAGTAAAACCAATCCTCTGGCAGATCAAGCTGATTAAACTGCTCCTCGGCTCATCTCACCTTGTTCTTTGTGAATCCTCCAGATGCTCCAGCAGCAATCTTGTCCCTTTCCTCCAACTGGGAAGATTTCAACAACAAAAGCCACATCACTTTCATACCACTGTGCTCAAGAGCTGTCACAGGAAAGCAAAGAAATGAAGCCAGTATAACAGATCAAACATTTTCCTTTATGTTACCAGTAAATGCTAAGATGTTTCAGTTGTTCAGTGATCTCACAGTTTGTCAGATGAAGCTAAAAACTAATTCCTAGCAATGTAAATTCCTAACAGCGTACACTGGGGTGGACTGCATTTGTGGCTTTTTTGTTATTTCAGGCTTCTCAAAGCATTTTTCCTTGCTATTCTATTCTGCAGCGCCACCAGCTGATACTCCACCTCCTTCTCCATGTGTCTGATGAACTCAGCCTGCTCGGAATGTCCGAGCGCCTCCTTCTTGGCCTCATGGCGTTTATCCAGCCGGGCCTTGTACTCCTGTGGTTTGGCACTGAAAACAAATCAAACATCTTGGTAAGAACCCAAAAAGGATGAATGCTCTTCCATTGTTTACCAGCATTATTTTGTGTTGTGATTTAATGCAGCAATAATCTCCAGATTTGGCAAATGTGCATTCCTTTACTTGCTACATTCCCCAGGATGCCTTGTGACTGATTCAGAGAAGAGGCCTCAGCCTGATAAAGCATTATACTAGTAACTTGTTTGCTCTACGTGAAACCACCCTTTTCCAGAATAACTTCCAACCTTCCAGCTACTTATTTATTAATTTTTTTCAGTACATTATGAAGGTCAACTTGTTCTACAGCGTTTCCACTTCAGCAATGTTTCTTCAGAGGCCGAGCAAGAAAAAGGCGTTACCTTCCCAACTTGGGTCTGTTGGAAGTTTGAGTTTATTTCATAATATTTCCTTGGGATCCCACAGGCAAATGGGAACCATGAAGAGGCTGCAAGGAAAGCAGCAACCACCAATTACCTGCAGAGAGTAAGGCAAGTCCTAATCCTGTCAGCACAAGAACAATCTCTAAGTACAAGATCAATAGAGGCCGGGGTCTACCATACCAGACAGGACCCCAGGTGCAGGCTGTGCAAAGATGCCCCTGAGACAATCCAGCACATAACAGCAGGGTGCAAGATGCTAGCAGGCAGGGCATACATGGAACGCCATAACCAAGTGGCTGGCATAGTGTACAGAAACATCTGTGCCGAATACAGGCTGGAAGTCCCAAAGTCAAAATGGGATACACCTCCAAAGGAGGTTGAGAATGACCAAGCTAAGATCCTGTGGGACTTCAAGATACAAACTGACAAACTGATAATGGCCAACCAACTGGACATAGTGGTGGTGGACAGAGTAAGAAGGCCATAGTGATAGATGTAGCAATCCCAAGCGATAGCAACATCAGGAAGAGGGAACACGAGAAGCTTGAGAAATACCAAGGGCTGAAAGAAGAGCTAGAAAAAATGTGGAAGGTGAAG